AAAAGTACAAAAAGAGTATTAAATTATTCCAATTAATTGAGTGCCATGAGCTTTCATACTCCACTCTTCATAACTAAACACTAAACCCCCTTTTTTTTACAGATTCATGATGTTGATGAGATTTGGATGAAAGTTTTTTTTTTCAAACTGATGCTTATTGTATTATGGAAGGAAATTATCATAACAATACACAGCAATCAAGAACAAAACTGTTGAAAAACTAGTGTATCGGGTAGAAACCCAATGCGGATTATATTCACACCGTACTATCGTAAGTCTTATGGATAGACCAAGATTTGCCAATCATAAGTATGAAGGTATGAAGCTTGATAAGTCAACTAAGCTTCGCTCAGCATAAGTTTGAAGATATGAAGCTAGAGAGGCAGCTGAGCTTCGCTAAGCATAAGTTTGAAGTTATAAAGCTATCGCGTAAACTGAGCTACGCTCAACATAAGTTTGAAGATATAAAGCTAGAGTGTCAGCTGAGCTACGCTCAGCATAAGTTTGAAGATATGAAGCTATGGAGGCAGCTGAGCTTCGCTCAGCATAAGTTTGAAGTTAAACTGAAATCTAATAAACTAGTCCAAGCTAGGTTGATTCTCAATTAATCGACTAAGTTGACTCAAAGCTAGTCGACTAAGTTTGTTTCATCGAGAACAAAAAACCTAGTCGACCAGTTAAACATACAGCTAATAAACTAGTCCTAGCTAGGTTGATTCTTGTAAACTATTCGACTAGGTTGACTCAAAGCTAGTCGACTAAGTTTGTTTCATCAAAAATAAAAAATCGAGTCGACTTCTAGCTCCGCTTACAAACAACATTTCTATAAAGTTACATTCCATGTATAAAAACATAATGCCAATAATCCTTACAACCTTAATAATTGACCATTCAATTCATATACACAAAAATATTTTCATATACTCTATTTTGCCTTACTCTAATATAATTTGGTCTTTTTCTCACTCGCCGTTCAATATTGAAATTGTATAAAGGAGAAAATTGTTGCCATTTTGTTTTATGAAAATCCTATAACACACAAATTCACAGTAAAAACAAATTGCTTAAATGCCTTTACCAAGAAAAAAGAAGAAAAGTGTTCGTATCGGAAAAAAAAAGAAAAACCGAAAAAAGGAAAATGTAATAGAAAAAGAGGCATAATTGAATAAATTAGACATTTTTATGAACGTTTGACACCCTCACGCTATAATTATAGTTATAAATATGTATTTCCATACATATTCCACTTCATTATGATCCCCTACCTACTTTCTTTCTCTGTTCATCCTTCGTTCAATGGCATTTTGCCGATAAAATATATCTGTTTATGATCCCTTCCATTCTTTCTTCTCTTTTAGATTGTATTATATTAATATAGCAGCAATTGCTATTATAGCCGGAAAAAACTAATGAATTCTGTATTACTTTTGCTATGCAATATCTTCATTATTTTGGGATTAACGAGAACAATAAATAATTTTTTCTCCTCTCACTTTATTGCTGTTATTATTCATGCCGTTAAACTAGAGGCAAATTTACACTCAAATTAGAAATATAATAATTTCTAGCTTGTCTGCTTCATGTTAATTTTCCAGTGGTCCAATAAAATATTGACGGCAATTAATTGACGAGCAATTAAGCTATTCTGAAAGAAAAACACGTTTATAGAATAATTTTCCCATGTCTGCTTATGAAACAAACTTTTTTCATTATGCTCTCGTGTTTACCAAGGGGATCGTTCATAAATGATGTCTAATTATTGAGAATCTCAGGCTTTGTGTCTCTTCCATGCAAAATACGTGAATACTTTTTCCAGAGGTTGGATATAAATCCAAATTTTTGATTGACGTCATTAAAAATTAACCCCTAATCGCTCATCATTCTATTGCAGATATTTGAAAAGGAGATTTCTTTTTCAAATCAACCCAACTCCCCTTCTCATCCTCATCATTTGTCCTCGTCATTAACCAATTTTCTCTTTTTTATTTTCTATGATGCGACAAAAAGGAACTCTCTTCTCCACTCACAAAACTTTCCATTCTTTTCAAACCGGATATTTTCATCGCAAACACAGAACTTTTAATTTTCATTGTTCATAAAAAAGAAAAAGAAAATGTATTCAATGAGCGATTAAAAAAATTGCTTGCCTTAAGAGTCTATTTCCTTTCAAGCAACATACCTTTCTCACTTCTTAGATTTACCACATTGTACTCGATCTACGTTTTATATATATACATTATTATTGTTTGCTTATTATACAATGAAGACGACAGGAAAATCGATAACGTTAGACGTTGCATGAAAACGAATGAAATGAACGAAAGAAAATAGAAAGCGTTGAGGTAATGTGTATCGTGCAAATGACAGAAAGCTAAGCTTCATGCGATTACGAACGAGATAATATCTATAATGTAATTGCGTCCAAATTATTAAATATTACATAAAATTCAATATTTTTTGAAACAAATTAACTTGCATTAGTCTGTTAAGATGTTGATTATAATGTTGTATTACTAGTAAGTATAATTAAAACTCTAAGGATTATAAATCAACAATAATGATGTTTATAGTTTGAAATTCAAAAAGGGGCCGTTCACTTATTACGTTACGCAAAAAAAAACTTTTTTCATCCCCCCCCCCTTGTTACAATATGTTACAACTCACAACCCCCCCCCCCCCCCCCCCCTGAACGTTCATTATTTATTTTACTTTGATAATTTTTCATAAATCATTAAAAAGGTGGAAAATTGAGAAAAATGTTTTTGGTGTCAAATGTTTTCGTGAACTTTTTTTTTAAAAGACAGACGACAGTTAGAACATTACATACTTCTTGACCCCCCCCTCCTTTGTTACATTTTGTTATAATTTTTCAAACTTCCCCTCCCCCCCTAAAATGCGAACGTAATAAGTGAACGGCCCCAAACAGACTTAACATTAACCAGGGGACTAGCAACTTGAAAGGGGAAAATCAACTTATATAATTTGAATATAAAATGACCGTTGACAAAATTATTCAAAATCATAAATTATGTCAAATTCTTTGAAATAAATAGAAAAACTTAAAAGAACTCAATATCAAAAGAGAAATCAAATCGTAAGGTAAAGCAAATAAAAAAGCATTTAATTGATAATGACAGCAATTCAATTCACTTTAGTTTGTGATAAGTAGCAATATTCATTTTTCTCCTCCTCATTGCTATTGTATAAGCAAACAAAAGAAGAAAATGCTTCTCATTCTTTTGCCTTTTTTCTGCTATCTAGCCAGTATTATCTGTCGATAAATTTTCATTTTTACTCCACAAATGCTTTTTATTGCTTTCCATTCCTTTTCATTTATTTCATTTATTTTTCTATATCTCTCCTCTTTTGCCAAGCCATCATTGTGTTTGTGTTTATCTATTGTTATTGGACTTTGAGCTCAACCAAAGTTGATTTAATTTTTTTTTACACCGGTCAGCAATGGAATGTGTTTTTCCTATCCTATTGTCCACACTTACAATGGAATAAAAATTCGTTTTTAATTAATTTTATGTTCATCTGGCATCATAAAATGTTTGTTTGAATCCACAATGTATTGCACGTGAATGTGAATATTATTTCATTTAAGGGGTTCCTAATGTGGGTTGATGTCGTATTCTATATTGAGATGTACATGATAGTAAAATTGTTCCAACTAATTATGTTTTGCTCGAATTATTCTGTTGGTTTTTTTAATCTATATCAGTGTTGTCCAAACTGTGTGCCGCGGCAATCTGGTGTGTTGTAGAAATTCTTTGGAAATGGCGCCAGCCACATGCTGTGTAATGGCTTACCCCTAAGGGACCGTTCACTTATTACGGAACGCGAAAAAACGACTTTTAGACCCCCCTCCCCCTCGTAATAAAATGTGTTTTCAAAAAAAATTCTTTTGTTTGAACCGTAACGAAATCTTAGACCCCCGTCCCCCCTAAAAGCGTGCTAAGGCGTGCCATGGCTCAAAAAAGTTTGGACATCACTGATCTATATCAATAGACGGTCTATATTAATGTTTTTTGTAATCAAGAATTTTATACTTTTTTATTATTTCCGTTTCTTTTTCGAAATTGATCTTCATTCTAGCCTCTTTTTTTCAGGAGCGAAGCTAGGAAGGGCTTACACCCCCTACACGAGGAAATTCCATTAAATTGGAAGAATATTGAAAGTTAAATCAAAGGCTTCGCAGTAATTAAGTTTTAAAGACCACAAACCCCCTAGCTACACTCCTGTGCCTCCCTCACAACTTATTCACTCATTCATATAAATATTTTTTATGAATATACATAATTTTTATGAAGGGCCCCACAAGAGAATTAACGTTTATTTATCACGGACTGTAGTTAATGAAAATTGAATTTTTTTTTCTTTCATTCATATTTTTTTATTCGTCAAGTTCCCATTAAATATCGTACCTCAATAAAATTATGGGATAAGTAATGAAATATGATAAGATAGAACTTTTTTTATACTGAGAGCTTATTTTTTTCCTTCTCGGTAAGTTTCTTTACTACCTTTTTAAATAAATGGAAGTAAGGCATGTTGAGTTGGTGTAACACATCAAGGGATAAGCACAAATACTGAATTTCTATGAAATAACTTTGTTGCTTTATTCAAAATCTTCTTAATTAAAATATAGGAACATTAGAGGATATACCAACATCGCATCCCTTGTCGTAACCACACCATAAAAAGTTAAAAGTCGTAAGAATAAAATGCGAAGCTAGTTAGTTGTGGGTTTTTGAGGTTAGCATTCTTATTCTTCATTTCTGCAAGGTTAGAGACCCCTCGTCGTAGCTTTATGTCTACTTAATGTAATTTAAAGGCTAATTAAAGTTGAAATATTATCGCTCATTTGAACTTATTTCATTTAAAAGTTTCTCACTTTTCATCTTACTTTTTATTTTCCAATTTTCTTTCGCAACTTTCTTTTTTTTTATTTACCCGAGTAGAAGTAAGGTAATAAAAAATTTTCTTTTAATACTCACCACTTTGAATGAGACCAAATGATATAAATACGATTAAAGCGTTGAGTAAAACCATTGATTTAAAGATGTTTGAGAACAATAAGTGAAACTTTCTGTTGTGGGTGCTCTGCGGGAGCTGTAAATTATTTCGTTTTATGTTTCCCATTTTTCCCTGTGACCTACACAGCTTTACACTTATTCTTCTGACAGATGAGAGAAGAGAAAATTTATTAAAGCACTCTTGTAAATGTTCAGTGTAGCAGAAATAGAAACTTTTTTTTTTCCTTTGGATATATGAACGTATGTTCACTAGATAGAGTTGTTGACTCCACTTCTTTCACAGTTCTTTTTTCTCAACAACTTTCTTGCCGTCAACTTCTTTCAATTTACTTTCATCTCTTCTTTTTTTGAATTTGAAGCTTACGAAACATTAATCGCTCACTTACACGATGATATTAAAGTTTAACTACAAAATTGTTTGCAACTTCAAATGAATCTTCACACTTTTTTTTGTTTCACTGGATGGATGTAATTGAAAGCTCTCGTCTCGGTCTTTATATCTTTTTACACCACGAGAGTTCACAGAGTGCTTTATTGTTTTTGAAATCTTAATTATTCTCGCTTTGTGAAATGTTTAATGAAAAAAAAGCTATTGTTATATTTTTTTATAATTCTCGTTCTCTGCTCAATTATACACGTTTATAAATACAAACGTTGAACACTCGACTCTTTAAATGCTGTTTCTGTTGTACTCGTTTTTATGCACCTAAAAGGAGAAAAGAAGGAAAGAAAATATTCGTTAATTGGAGCGAATAATTTGGATATAAATTCAATTAGGGTAAGTGCGAAAATTTTCCGATGAAAAACTTCAATTAAAATTTGTGGCATTTTAATTTCAAACTAAATTGGTAAAGTGAAACAAAATAAATTGGTGTTCAATTTTTAAAAAAGATCTGCAATTTTTAAAAAAGGATTTTTGAATTTTTAAAAAATGGTTTTCAAATTTTAGAAACCGGTTTTCGATTTTTAAAATAGTTTTCAAAATTTTATAAAATAATTTTCAAATTTCAGAAACTGGTTTTCAATTTTTAAAAATGGTTTTCAAATTTCAGAAACAGGTTATCAATTTTTAAAAATGGTTCTCAAATTTTAAAAAAGGTTTTCAACTTTAAAAAGATTGTTTTAGAATTTTAAAAATGGTTTTTGAATTCTAAAATGGTTTTTGATTTTAAAAAAATTGTTTTTGAATTCTAAAATGGTGCAAATTTTAGAAAATGGTTTTTCAATTTTTAAAAAATGGTTTTCGATTTTAATTATTTATTGTAATTTTTTTAACGTTTTTAGACGTCATTATAAATAGTTTCAAGATACATATTACTAAAATCAATGACTATTACATAGAAAAGAATAATTGCTTTTATTACTTTGTTTTATGTAAATGCAATAAATAAATCAATATCGTTGATTCTTATTTATAAGCATTTCATTCATTGAAGCATAAAATTTCTTCCCATAGAAATGAAAGAATCTGAGGAAATGGATATTTTTTTTTATTCATAAAGTAGAAGCAATTTGCAATTACAAATGTCATAAAGTTTTCTAATGCAAACATTTACATTTGTGAAACATTATTTTTCCATAATAGTTGTTTTACTATCGACTATAAAAAGCGCTTTAGCACCCATTAAGGACAAAGGCAGTCGTTCAATTTCCATTCATACATGAATGAATCTAGAGAGACAATCAAAGGCAATTTATCTTACATTCATAAATATTACAGTAAATAACTAATCGATATTAAAATATTTACCACTTCTCTTTCATTATCGAAAAGGTAATTAAATGTTGGAATTGTACGAAAAATTGATTTTGAACAAAACTCTTATTGTGTCGTCCATTTATGTCGTCCATGAAATAGTGGGTTTTTTAAACTTCTCCCCCGTTCTTACTGAGGTTCATTCAAAAATGTATGTTTTCAATAAATTACACTGACACAATACCTCGGACCCCCTCCTCCTTAAACGATAGACGTCGTAAGTAAACGACTCTTTAGACCTAAACTCATGAAAAAACTTGTAATTAACCAAACACTGCTCCCGGAATTACAACCTTTTCATCATCATTATGTTATGACAAGAATGACTTTTTGGCACGTGCAAACATTTATCCTTTTTCGTGTTTAATTATGTAGAATTACGCATAATGAAGAAATTGTTTGTTTTTCTAATTCATGGAACTTTATTTTCCGCAATCAAGTATGTGTATGAATGTCTGTGCTTTTGTGTTTACACCACTAAGAAATTGTTATTATTAAAGGTAACACATATTAGGTTTATTTGGCGCATATTCTTAATGAATCTGTTAAATGCAGGGGTGGACAAACATTTTTAGAGCCTGACGCCCTTTAATGCTGTGCAGACCCCCGAATAGAACAAGTCGGTTATTCGAACAGAAATCTGGCACCATGTCAGTGTGAGTCTGGAATGGTGCTGCACTTAAATCGAATCCAGCACAATGCCAAAGTTACGTTAGCTTGGTGTCTGATTTCTATTCGATTAACCGACTTGTGCTATTCGGGAACCCTCCTTCGTCCTTTAGCATTAAGAAGATAAGAAGCTCCGTTCTCAAGTTAAATGTCAAATTGAACATTTTACAGCAGAACATTTTCTTAAAAGCTGTTCAATACAAACAAAACAGGTGAAACTTGTGTGAAACATAACGATAGAACAAAAGAAGGAACTAATTGAAAGAAATAACTTTCATATTCACATGATTTATGATAATTGCTCATAGCAGTGACGATATTTCAACTCTTTCACCTATTTTTGTTTTTCCTTCCACCCCATTTACCTAGTTTTTATTGTTGTTAATATTTTAAATACGTTCTCACAAACTTATACCAACACGAATAGATGATTACATCTAGTTGGACATTAGGCACGCGTACAGGATAGCAAAATTAAAGCAAAGCACAAAAGTGAATTCATAGCAGCCCATTACGATATCCGCACGTATGTACTATTTATACAGTAATATGTTCAAGAAGAAAACTTGACTTGAGCTCATTATTTAAATTGTGTAATGACATGCAATGGCAATTTCCGTCAAAATGAAAAGGCGGCTCGTAAAATTTTAATTACGTTATTACTTTTCAGTTTTTCGCTTCTGTTTTCTTTTTATTCCTCTTTTAAAGAGGAGTTAAATGTTTGCCTTGAAGGCGCATTTTCATAAGAGCGCTTGATGAACGAGGAGGAGAATTACTTTCTCCTTTTAACGTTTTATTACAGTTTGTAAATAAATAAATAAACAAACATTGACGTCTTTAAATTAAGTGTAAGAAGAAGAATAAGTGTGGAGAAAGGGGAAACTTTATTTGAAATATGAAAAGTAATTATGAAAATTGAAATGTGAAAGAATTTTTAATGATGTTTAAGTTTTCGGAAAACTCGATATCGAGAGGGGTTGTTCAATTATTAGGTAGCACATAGATGACCCCTTGGTTTCATAGATGGATCCTCTTGTGATTCTAAGTTTGACATTTCTTGTGATTTTTTGAGATTCTTAGTTTGAAACCCCTTGTGATTCTTAGTTTGACATCCCTTGTGATTCTTATTTTGACGCCCCTTGTGATTCTTATTTTGACGCCCCTTGTGATTCTTAGTTTGACACCCTTCGTGGGTATTTGTTTGAGACCCATTGTGATTCTTAGCTTGACAATCCTTGTGATTCTTATTTTGACGCTCCTTGTGATTCTTTTTTTGACGCCACTTGTGATTCTTAGTTTGACACCTCTCGTGATTCTTAGTTTGAGACCCCTTTTGATTCTTAGTTTGACACCCCTCGTGATTATTTGTTTGAGACCCATTGTGATTTTTAGTTTGACACCCTTCGTGTTTCTTAGTTTGAGACCCCTTGTGATTCTAAGTTTGACACCCCTCGTGATTATTTGTTTGAGACCCTTTTTGATTCTTAGTTTGACACCCTTCGTGATTATTTGTTTGAGACCCATTGTGATTCTTAGTTTGACACCTTTCGTGTTTCTTAATTTGATGTCGCTTGTAATTCATAGTTTGATGCCCCTTGTGATTCTTAGTTTGACATCCTTTGTGATTCTTAGTTTGATACTCTTTGTGATTCTTAGTTTACACCTCTCATGATTCTTAGTTTAAGACCCCTTGTAAATCTTAGTTCAATACTCCTTTTTAAAAGTGTTATATTATGAGTAAAAGAACCCCAGAATGAACTTAAAATATGAGAAATATGAAAATTGTCATTATTGTCTCGTGTTTTGTTTATTTCTAAAAACAAATATAGCTTATTATTTTGATAAATCATTTTTGTCAATTCTAAAACTTTTCATATACCTAATTAAAATTTCAGAAGACATAAATGGCGACATGAAGCATTAATTTTACAATTTAAATTATCGATCATTTGTGTGTTCATTTTACAACGCTGGGAATTTCAAGCATTACATTTTACACAAAACTTCCTCATCTATACTCATAATTTTCCTCACATAATCATTATTATATCATATGTCGCTCATATATTGAATGAAATTTTCATCGCGTTTTAATTGTATGTAAAAAATTTTCCTCCCCTTTTTTCACAAAATGTTAAAGACAAAAGAGTCGTCGAACATTCGGGGAGAGGTGAAATTAAATTTTAATTATATTCTGTTCTTTCTCTCTGCAGTCAGATAAGTTCATGTATATGTGAAATTCTTGATATTATATTATGACATAAAATATAAGTATTTTAATTAATATTAAATTATAAATTTAATGAATTGTACAATATGTATAAGTGCCTTAAATCCACTTCTTTGCTAATATCATATTTTATTAATACTATACAGATTTTAATAGATGTCTGTTCTTGATATTGTAATATGATGCCTTTAATGCCAATTTGAGAGAAACGGGAGGAGTTTTCTTTTTGTATTTGGAATTAATCAAGGAATACTTTAGAAATTCAATTAGAAGAACACTTGATGATTTTTGCTTTTTAATGTTTTATAGCTTTTGGCCTTTAAATGATTTACATAGAATCTTAATGAACTTAAATTTGAAGTTTCGCAGAAAAAAGTAAGAATACGAACAATTCAACCATAATGGGAATCGAACCCACGTCCTTAGGATTTACAGTCGCCCACTCTTACCACTGAGCCATCGAGTGAAGCTAATAAGCTTGACAAAATGCAAACTTGAACTTTTATTACTGATTTAAAATGGAATAAACTTCAATTGCTTATAAATTTTATGTTGCATGATACTTTTAAAAATTAGTCTACTCAAGCATCAAACTAGCATTTTGCCAAACGTTTCCATATCAATCTGCCACAAAACAAAAATTTTAATGTCACGTATTTGATTCATATCCAAATAGACTAGCATTATTATTATTATTACTACGTTTTTCTTAACTTGCTTTCTTGTTTGTTTGTTTGTTTGTTTGTTTGTTTGTTTGTTTGTTTGTTTGTTTGTTTGTTTGTTTGTTTGCAAAAAATTTCAAATCTTGCGATCAATTTTTCGACCACTTCTACTGCTCCAATCGAGCTAAAATTTTTTATTCACACGTATTCCCGGTGACAATACAATATTTTAACACTTTGGAAACACAAAAATGCTTAATTATAGTACAATTTATGTAAAACTTTTTTATATGGGAAAAAATCCAATGTCAATGATATAAAATTTTGATTTGTATTAAATATTATACTTGTGATGCTCTAAAGTCACTTATATGATTCATTATAGTTTA